TATGGAAGCACACTCGAGGACTTTTGACGTCTCACAGTTGTTACCTTAAGTGAGGAACTCTTTTGTCCTTTCCATGTGGGTCAACATATCTGTGGTCGTGGGAAGCCCTCATTGTCCCATGTCCGGTTGAGTGGAAAACCACTGAAACCCCGTCAGTCCCATTGATCGCTTGACCGAGACTCGGAAAAACGGAATGGATCCGCCTGCTCCCTCCCCTCAGCTGCGGTCTCCTCCGCTGTTTTTCATTTTAGGGCAGACTGACTGTGAAACAGAAACAGGGCATGTCATTTTCTGTGTACCCAGATGTGGGCCAACTTTTCGTTGTTGCAAAGGTACTGCCTGACTGAGGGCTTTTTGGCCATGTTTCTTCTCCCTTTCTGCGCCAGTGGTCAGTGTTCTAACCACCATGTGGTTATTGACCCTGCACAATTCTTTTACGTATGCAAGTGGGACCATGTGGAAAATGTGATAGGCCTTCTCAGCTTCTTTGAAGCAAGCAGCATTGACTCCGGACTCCCCCTTGTGAGGTTGGACGGGCATCACACCAAACTGGTATCACAGAAAAGGGGTGCGCTGATTTCTCGCTACCCGGGCTTTCAGCATTCCCTTTCGTTCAGAGGCGACTGGTGTGCTCGAAGCTCTGAATGATACATTTAGACCTCTGTGACTTGGGGTTGGGGTTTGTTCTTTCCTGGAAACCAACAGGAAAACTGCGAGTTTGGGGGTCCCAATTTTCCGGAAAGACGCACAGCCCGTGATTCGAAAGACAGAAAACACAGGCCAAGGCCAAGTTCCTGTCGCAAGGGGCAAGAGTGACCGCGGCTTTCCTTTCAAGGGACCCAGATGTTTGGTCTGCCCACGGCTCAAGGGACCGGGAAGATGTCCCGCTCAAATGGGGGGAAGTAAATCACTATATCACTCGGGTTGCACGTAAAAGACAGCATATGGTTGCTTGTGCCCTTGGTTTCGGAGAAAGGCGTCAGGTGGTTTACCCTTTGGCAGTCAAGTGATTTTGTTTACAACCAAACGAAGGCCCTCTTCATAACCGAGATGGATCCGCCTGGGTCAGACAAAAACGACTCATAGACTTTTTTGCCTGCAATAGAGCATGAGACTGCCCCGGAAAAGAAAGCCCTCAAAATCCGGAATGAGTGGCTTCTCTTTGGTTTCGCCGGCGTTCGGTTTCTTTTTGGTTTCCTTTGTGCACCGCACGGAGCCTTAGGCATTGGCAAGCAGCGGTACTGGTCCAAGGCAGCCTACAGGAAGGCGGGGGAACTTCGGTTCACCTTTGACTCCGGGGACCTTGAGGACATCAAAATTCGGCGGGGATTCGTGTCCAACCACTTCTGAGGTGGTTCCTGTTGGAACTCAAGGCCACTGCAACCAGTCAGATGGTGCCTTTCAGTAGTTGGTCAACACAACCCTCTTGGTGGTTTGGGGCTGGAAAGCCTGGGAAGGTCCATGGAGAATCAGAGAGGGATGAGCCCGGCAAAAACCATCCCTTGTTGTTTCCCTGAGAATCCCTTCTGAAAGCCAGCAAGATGACCACATTGCGTTTGGTCCCGACATTGACTTTGAGTGGTTTTTAACCCAACATCTTGTCATTCAAAAAGCCTTTGCTGCACATAGAAGGGGTCCTGAACTTAACCATCCAAATCGAGTCCGTCAAGCCCTTCACAAACCCCATGCCTTGTCCCTACTTTCTCATGGGTTTCGGTCAGAAAGTCCAATTGAGGCCCATCCAAAAGGGAACTCCCGAAAAATTTGCAGTTTGGAGCCCTTGTGATTACCACTACCCCCCTGTGAGACCCATTTTGGCCAAACTATGCTGACCTGTGCAAGTCAGCCATAATCAGTTGGTACAAGGAAGACCACCATTTTCAATATTCCCTTAAAGCAGACACACCCCAAATGTGTATACAAATGTATAGATAACATATTACATATATAAACATATACACATATGTTTTACATTGAACTGCAAGCCTGCGAGCACTGCAAATAACAGCCAAGTCCAGGGTTGAATTTGGGGGAAGGGGCGTACCCCTCTATATATTCGTCTACTCACCTGGAGGTAAGCAATGCAGGTGCTGTACTTGGGAACCCCTTCATTTCAGGTGTGGGCAATGTCGTAGCAATTGCACATATACATGCAGACGGACGGACGGACACAGAGACACAGAGACACAGAGACAGAGAGAAGCAGAGACACAGAGACAGAGAGACAGAGAGAAAGAGAGACAGATACAGGGAGAGAGAGACAGAGAGAGAGAGAGAGAGAGACAGAGAGAGAGAGAGAGAGAGGCAGAGAGACGGAGAGAGAGAGAGAGAGAGACAGAGCAAGACAGAGAGACGGAGAGAGAGAGAGACGGAGAGAGAGAGAGAGACAGAGAGAGAGACAGAGAGGCAGACAGACAGACAGCCAGACAGACAGAGGGAGACACAGACATACATGCATGCCTGCATGCGTACGTACATACATACCTACATACCTACGTAT